ATGGCCTCCTCCCGGGCTGTGGCGACAGCCTTCGCCTTGATGGCCTCGGCCTCCTCGGCTGCTCTCCTTGCGGCCTCCGCAGCGGCCGCCTCAGCTTCTGCCTTCTCCTCCCTGAGCCTCTCGGCCTCCGCCCTCGCAAGCCGGAGGTCCTCCTCAAGCTGGGCCATCAGCTTCGTGGCCTGGGAGTCCCTAAGGATCAGCTCCTTCATCTTGGCGTCTTGCCTAGCTTTGTGGAGGCGCCATTCCTCCAGCCGTCGGAACTGTTCCCCGAGGGCAACACAAGTCTGCAAAGATAAGCGGGTTGTCAGGGCCAAACGTGATTTCTTAGTTCAAAATGGGAAACAAAAAGACAAACTACAGTGAACTCACCGTGAGGGAAGACCGGAGGATCCTGTCTTCAAGGGCTTGATCATCATCGGCCCCGAGAGCTGCCCTGTCGATATCGAGGGTTATACCTCTCAGGAGCGCCCTCGGGTCAGCCGTGCCATTCAACACGGCCGTACCAGCCGGAAGGGAGAGCGTGAGGACCTCGAGAGATGGCTCCTGGACTCCCCTCGGCACCTGCGCCGTCGGCATCTCCGGAGGGTCATCTATAATCACCACCGGGGGGTCATCCTTCGCGGCATCCCCCTTCTTTAACTTTTTGGGGGCTTGGGGGGGCTCCTTTGCCGACGGCTTTCTCTTAGCCGCAGCAGCATCGCCCTCGGGCTTTTTGGAAGGCGCACCGACGGGCTTTTGGCCACCAGCGTCCTGCCCCTTCGGATCCTTGGCCGGTTTGTTCTTGAATCGGGCGAGGCCTTTGACGTTCATCATACTTACTGGAACACCTGCAAAAAAAAAATGAGGGGTTAGGATCGAGGGGTCACTACTAAGTGGCATAAAGGATTAACAAAACAAATGAACAAACGTGCTAAGATGAGGGTGAGAATGCCCTCAGCTACTACCTCCGGAGGCTCCCTCAAACACTGGGAACTTCTCATCAGTTTCCCCCAGGAACCGATACCGCCGGAACCCGAGGGTGTAGAGATCTGCTTCTTTGGTGCAATCCTTGATGGAGATATTCTTGTCCCGGCCCTCCGGGATCATGGCCAGAATCCTGCCATCTTTCTCGAGGGCGGCGCTCCTCCTCTTCTCGTGCCTCCTGAAGCGGTCACGCAGCTCCCTCGGGAAGGGGCTCTCAGCTAGCTTCACATAGCACCACCGGTCCTTCCACCCCTTGTTCGAGGAGGGCGCCTCGGTGAAGAGTTTGAACACGGACACCTGCTGCAGATTGGTGAATCCCTCGGCATTCGCGTGCCCCCCCGGCACATGTTGAAGCTCTGGAAGAAGAGGTCCAGGCTAGGCGTCACCCCCCGGGACTTACAGAGCTGAAGGAAGCCAGTGATATAAGAATGGCTGTTCGGGGTCAGCTGGCAGGGAACCAGGCCGACGAACCGAAGATACTCCCGGAGGAAGGGGTGCAGGGGGAAGCGGAGCCCCATGGATACTGAGAGGACGTGCACCGCAATGCAGTCCTCGGGAGCCCGGGAGAGAACGTCATCCGGACCCGGTGTCACCACGATGGCCGAGGGGCCCACGTGAAGCTGGGTGACATAGATGTCCACCGCATCAACCTTCGACTTGATCTCCAATGCGGCGGTGTTGAGATAGGAGTACCCCTCGGGCATATCGAGGGGCTTCCCTTGATCTACTACGCTGCCCTTCTTCTTGGGAACAGCGGCCTTGGCCTTCTTCTTTCCGGGGGCCACCCGGAGGGGGACCGCATTCAGCGGCCGAGAGGTGCTGGCCTCCCCGGCACCCCGAGGGGGGAGCACAGCAACGGTGACCCTCTCGCTTTCTCTTTGTGCCTCCTCTTCAGCTGCTTGCCAGGCGATGGCCAACTCTTCGTCCTCACATTCTTGCTCAAAGCCCTCGGCCTCCGCCTCAGCTACGAGGGCTTTCTGCAACTCCAGTGCAACGACGGCATCCTGTCCCACCGAGGACTCTGCACTTGAGGACTCCACGTCCGAGAGGACTTCATCCTCCACCGAGGGCGCCCCCGAGATATCTTGAGAATCACTCTGGGACGACATGCTGACTCTAGTTCGAAGGCTCGTGCACGCTAGCGTTTCTAAATTTTCTATCTCCTAACCTAAGGGCACAGTACGGGTAGCTAAGAGGTGAAGGGAAAGCGGGCACTGACCTTGAAAGCAGAAGTTCTGACCGAAGGCCTGAGTTTCTCTCACTAGATTTTTTGGCAGAGCTTCGCTAAGATAACTGAGTTCGCACAGCGGGAATGGCTATGGCCTTGGGGTATTTATAGGCGCTGGAATCCGGGCTTGGGCCCGGAAACCGGGCCTCCGGACGGACCGTCATCATTACACACCGTCGTTTCACCCAACCGGAGACGCCGCTCGCGAACAGCCAGCCATCACACGCCACGTGTGCCACCCCCCCAACGGCTATATCCTGTCGTTACATATTCCAACGGCTATATTTCCAACGACTATATTCTGGAAGCCCCCGGGTTTTCCACTTCACTCCTCTTCGTCAAGGAGAGCCTCCGGGTACGCTTACCCAGAGACGCCCCCGGGTTGTGCCCCACACAGCACATAACAGACGCCTTCGGGATCACTCCTTCAGAAACCCAAGGCTTCATATCAAGGCACCCCTCGGGAATTCCCCCCAGCACTGCAAAACCGGGTAGCCCCCGCGGAGTTGCCTTCATTGACGGATAACCCGTCGCACACAGGTAATTGGAGCCCTCGGGTATCTTCATCACCAACTAATCAACGAGCAGTGGACCCCCCGGTAACAACTCCACTACTGCCCTCATCCATCAAGCCCTCGATCCCCGGATTGAGGGGCTCCCCTTCGGCGCCACCAGGACATCAACAGCAAGCCTTCGGCTAATCAACACAGGAGCCCTCAGAAGAGAGAGCCTTCGGCATTCCCGTCATTTTCCATTTTTTACCAAGGTTTGACATTTTCGATTCATCATTGGGGGAATTCGGTGCACTCTTTTTCCCTCATTAGGATTTTTTCCCAAAGGGTTTTTCCTAATGAGGTTTTTAACGAGGCATCCCCCCAAAATGAAACGAAAAGCGTCAGCCTTCGGCCCACAACAACAACGTAACTACTTTACTCCTTTTCACCACTTTACAAGTGCCTCAAGGAGTGGGGGACTGGAGGACCCCCTCGGGAAAATCATTAAATTACAAAATCTGTGAAATTCCAACAAACAACAAAACAAGCCCTCAAGTCCCGACATGTGGGTAACTGAGGGACTGCCTTCGGCAGGGACATAAAAGCAACAACTCCTCACCAACTTCAGAGATCACGACGGGACAACATCAAAGGGCAAGCACAAATTACTCCTTTTCCCTCAAGTACCTTTCGGCAAAAGGAGTGAGGGACTCCTGATGGAGTATATGGCCCGGGAACCCCCGGCCCACAGACTCCTACTACTCCAGCGAAGGCCCAAAAGGCCCAAAAGGCCCAAATCACAGCGCCCAGAGTACCAGGCAGTCCGCACTGCGCGCCAGGGGTGCCTTCGCCCCCCTGGCCGAAGGCTCCAAATTCTCGCAGAACGGGTTTCTCAAGCAAATTAAGAAACTGGGAGAAAACGGCGAAAACAGTAGCCCTCGGCATTGTGAGCCCTCGGCACCAGGGTGCCATCGGGTGGAAGAGCCCTCGGCTGCTGCTCTATAGCCGAAGGCATCTCACTCGACAAGATATCCGCCTCACATGCGTACAGATCACCGTACCCCGCACAGACGTCCCATCCAACAGCCGCATTAAATGCGGCCACATGTGGCTGCCAGCGCCAACCAGCCGAGGTGACCCCTCGGCCAATAAGCGCTTGACACGTGTCCCTGCCCGGCATTTATTGCTACTATAAATAGCACCCCATTTCCCCATTTGTAACCACGCTGAAAACGGCATTCATACTGAATACACTCTCTCTCTACTTTTACTTACTTGCTCCGACCTCTCTCTAAGTTATTCCCCGTAAATAACCCTTCGGATATATACCCCCGGGTAGACTATCCATCAGGATGCATAAGCTTAACAACATCCCTTTGATCACCCTCTAACCCCGTTAACACACCTTACAACTTTACACTCCGTACTCTATCCCGGACTTCCCTCCCTTCGAATGCATAAGCCTAATAAGTCAATAACCACAATGTACAAGTGCTTGTAGCTTGAAATTACACCAACACATTTCTAGTACCCAAAATACCCTTACCCCTATTCACTCTTATAATTTATTTATTTATTTATTTATTTATTTATTTATTTATTTATTTATATATATATTTTATTTTTATATTAGTTTTTCAGATATTAGATATACTTTATAGTTAATTTCAGTTAGTTTGTTTCAATTTTGATCAATTTTAACATGTTGTAGTCGGCTTTTTCAATTCGATCATTTTTCAATCCAAAACCATAAAACGAACTACCTAGAGTGAGGTCAGTTTTGATCATTTTTTGTTTTATTAGATTCGATTTTCAGAGGAAAGATCTTTGATATGGACAAATTTATTAGTTATTTGATCAGATTTATGACTAAATAAGATTATAACATTAAAAGTGGACGCATTTAAAAAGTATGAAATTATACGATTATATCTATAGAAATTGCTCTAAATAGGAGCAAAAACGTTTTGAAATTCCAAAATAGGAGTATCATGTTTTTTATTCCCTGAATAAGAGTAATCTGCCAAGTTTGGAAAAAAATGTCATGTTTTAAAGCCTAGTAATGCCAAACTTGGCAGAAATTTACTCTCATTCAAAGAATAAAAAATATGATAGTCCTGTTGTGGAATTTCAAAACTTTTTTACTCATATTTAGGGAATTCTCTCTTATATCTATAATTTTCTCTATACTTAATTAAAAGTTAATTAACCATCATCGTTTCATATAGTAAAAATTGTGTGGTTGAGATTTGTGAAGAAGAAAGAAAAATGGGCAAAAACACAAATAATTGCTTTAAAATAAAAGGAAAGTGCCAATTTTTTTTGACACAACTAGAAATGGAGAACAACTAGAAATGGAGAGAGTATTTTTTATAGCACAGGGCCGTGATAATTTCCCTTTATTTTTCGCAGCTAGCAATATCGTTTTTATTCCGAGCTTCCATCGATCTGCTTCTTGATTTCATCTTTCAGACAGCGAAACTGATAAGAGATCGGTCTTAGGGGTAGTTACGTCGCGCATCATCCAATCGATCTGCTTCCAGCGCAAAAACACTCCCTTCTCCGTTGAAGATGAATTTAGTGAAGAGCGCGCTTGAGGAGTTGAATATGAGTTGTTAATTTCTGAATTTGTAAGTGTTTATGTCCTCCAAAATCATTCTTTTCCCTATTTGATAATTCATTAGAAATGTCTGTATATATACATGAATCTTTCCATTTGTTGCTGCCAGTTTATTACATGTATAAGCTTAATTGAATGTGCGTATATACGGCTGTACACAGGTTGTATGATTGCGTTTTCAAGTACAATGGGTTTTTTGGCTAAACTTGTCATAACCGAGTTATGTCATATTTGAGAAAATTCAGATTATTGCATTCAAAGGTATGAAGAAAATAAAATAAAGTATAGTTTGTAATTGTGGTAGATGAAGCAACCTGGGATTCCAGTTGAGATGACACGGCACTTCTAATCTCTATAATACAGATCTTTTTTTTGGGTGCCTAGGTTGGAAAATAAGCTCAAATAATCATAATTATACATTGTGCTTTATTATTACCATCACAACTGTTTGGATTCCGAATATGTAATGGCTAGGGAGGGCAAAAGAAACTGCATACATGGTTATGTATATTATTATCTATATGCATCGATAATTGGTCATGTATTTTTAGAAACTGCATACATGGTTATGTATATTATTGTCTATATGCATAGATAATTGATTATCCTATAATGATTTGAATGGATTTCTATTTCAAGACCATTGTTTTTTCAATTTCTCATATATGAAGAGTTCCTTTTTTGAAATGGTTATCCAAGCCGTGGGGTTTATCTGTATGTTACTCAAATGACTTAAAGTCAAACTTTCTTGATGCGAGGTAAATGCTTTGTGTTTTTGTTGCAGAAAAGTGAGGATTTATCATATTAGCTGATAAGTACCTCTGGAGCTACGAATTGAGAGCTTTCGTGAGAATCTTCACAATATGGCTTGTAAAGGGTTCTTGGAGTGCTTGCTGAAACTCTTTAACTTCTTATTGACCCTTGTGGGTCTTGCCATGCTTGGATATGGTATCTACCTATTCGTGGAATACAAACACAATTCCTCATCCGGTGATGAATATCCCTATCCACCCTCAAATGATGACATAGTACAGCTAGGCCGACCTATGCTCATGGCAATCTCACTGGGTAGCAACATACTTGATAACCTTCCAAAAGCCTGGTATGAATGCATGCATATTCTCAGTTGTGACACTCACCTGTGATTTCTTGGTTTATAGTGGTGTGCTATTTGATGAGTTCTTCCTCTTGGTAGTATGCATATATTTGTTATCACCTTATCCATCGTTCTATTAGAGCACGATTCTTCAAATTTGTGTCCCTTTCCCATGCTTATCTAAATGGTTAATACGTAGTATTAGTATTTAAGGTTTTGTACTAAAAGATCAAACTTATACGTAGTATATGATCTTGTATCTTTGTATCAGAAAGAAGAAATTGTCTTAACTTGCAAATTAAATCATCAGAGAGTAGTTACTCAAGATGGGCCTTACTCAACATGGACTAGTGTCGTCGAGAGAGGATGTGAGGTAGACCTTAGAATCAATTTTTGGAGATTACAGTATAGAAATTTAAACTCTTTTATGACTATGTAGTTGATGAATGATGTACCGTTATGGAAGATTGCTACTTGGATAAATGAAGAAGTGTATTTCTTTAGTAAAGAGATTTTGGGTGAATCAAGCTTATGGTAATAAAAAAGAAGCAACATTGTGGAATGATATTAATATTCTAAAATCGCTTGTTCCAAACAACATGAATATATCTAATATTTGAGAGAATGTAGTGATGAAAAGACCCTAATGAAATATAAAACTGCAGAATCAAAGGTGAGGGAAGCAGCTTAGAGAGAAAGTAGAAAGTAAAGAATGATGATGACTTGCAAGGGAGAAGTAATGCATTATAGACAAAAACAGGGTCTTTGGTCTAAGACATATAGATAAAGAACAAATGGAAAGAGTACTTGCATGAATAATTTAAGAGCATAATTGTCATAGCGTATGGCGACATCCGTGGCGGAAAGAGTACTTGGATGAATTATTTAAGAGCATAGTTGTCATGTCGTATGGTGACACCCATGGCTCTGAGGCATTTTCCCATGGTGATGGCACATTTATAGCGTCACCACATGGCAAAAATAACTAAAAATATGAACTATAGACTCTATAATTCTATCACTCAACCACCAAAATATGATAAAAAAGTTGAATACCGACATTCTAGCCAAAACATGCGAAGTTAGAATACGGAGTAGTTTAAAGTAGTTCCAAAAAACATAATATTTTAAAAAAGTTTCATGTCTTTCAAAACATGTCAATATGTTTTTATTCGATGATTATGCCATTATCATCATCTATTATCACACTCCTCCTCATCATCTCGACCTGAATCTGATAGCAATGGTAGTTCGAACTACATCGAAGGAGTTCCCTTTAGTTGTTACCTATTGCACGACTATCAAACTCCAGCTTTTACATTAGTTCAGCAGCTATCTCTGACTTTACGTTGGTTGTACTCTTATGTACTTCTTATTAGGGCTTTTGTCAATATAATGGGCTGACATGTTAATTTCTTATTAGGGTTTTATTAATATTACGGACTGGCTGATTATTTATATACTTATCAGGGTCAAAGTCCAAAAATAACAAAGTAAACATGTCCAGATCTATTTAATATTATGGCACACATGTCATTGCGATGGCGATGGAGATGGCGCTGTCATGTGTATGGTTGTCGCCAGGAGGACTTTTCAGTGCGAAGTAGGGTCTTGTCGCCATATGGTGCATGACGCATGCCATTTCTCACCATCAACAACCATGTTTAAGAGAATATAGCTATAATTTCCCTATAAATAATAACACATATGTTTTTTATATCGAGTAGTTTATTTTTTTAATAGAAATGATTTTTAGTAGTTTTTTGTATCTAATAACAAATTTCTGGTAAACATTTATATTTTTTGTTCTTTTTATTAAAATGAGGATACAAAAATCTCGTTTCATCTATTTTTCCAGCAGTTTGTTGTATTATTTGGACTCTTTTTTTTCATTAACTCTCATACTAAATTCTATATGTTGAATTATAGTTTTCTAGGTGCTAATTAATATGGTTCATGCCCTCAGGTTTATCTATTTGTTTATTGGGATCGGAGTGGCTCTTTCTGTGATATCTTGCTGTGGTTGTATCGCAGCTGCAACAAGGAATGGATGCTGCCTGACTTGTGTATCCTATCTTATTATATTTTGGCATTAAAGTGAATCGCAAGTCCATTCTATTATGATTTCAGTTATGTAATCAGTTGAAGTAAAAACATCTTTGACAAGTTGGTATACAAGTAAACCACAATGAAAATAATATTTTTTCTAAAATTTTGTTCCTTAAGTGTGTGGGGCATTATATTCCCGACAGAGAAAATGCTTACTAGTTACCCAAACATGACATTGTGCTATGGGATGAAACTCTCTACCCTATATCATCCAGGACTTTCACTCTTTATAATATAATGCACTAGCAGTATCACGTCCCTTATTGGTTTCAAGTGAGAGAAGAGGGAAAATCTGAAGGCTTAATAAAATATTACTACCTTTGTCCCAAAAAACTTTGCCATCTTTAAAACTTTGACCAACTATATATATTTGTTGGAAATTATTTATAATATGAAAATGTTCTTTGTTAAAAGTATTAAAGTTACAACTTCCATAATATTATACTAATCAAAATCATTGTCCAAATTTTATGAGATGACAAAGTTTTTTGAGACAAAGGTAGTATATGTTTGATCCAGTCAAAAAGTGAGGGAAAAGTAGGTATTTTAGTAATATGTCAAATATTATTGGATAATATTATCGTTTTAAATTGAAAATATAATAATCTATGTGCATAGCAATAAAGGAGTTTTATCAATCCAAGAGATAGATGAACTATCTATCCGGGACCTGAATGATTAAAAACTATCAATCTAGGACTTGAGTTGTCATGATTTTTTTTATTTTAAAAATTTTAAATATTATCCCTTCCGTCCCGCTAAGATTGTCCCATTTTTTCCTTTTCGGGGAATCCCACTAAGATCGTCTCACACCATATTTGATAAAGTTTATGTGGCTCTAAATCATTTTTACTTTATTCTTACTTTATTAATTCAATATCAACCACGTAAACTCACTTTTCTTAATAACCGTGCCACCTTTTCATGTCCCAATGTTAGTGAAACGGAGGTAGTATGTAATTTTATTAAATTAATAAACTTTTGTGAAGAAAAAATCATCAAATATTAGCAACGGAAGGAATTAAAAATTAAATAATCCAAAACCTATGGAATCTTAGGTCCTAGATTGATAGTTTTCAATCATTGAAGGCCTATACTGACACATTTCATCTTTCAGGTCCCGGATTGATAGTTCATCTATCTTTCGGGTCTTGTATCGATAAAGTTCCAATAGTTATAGTAAAGATGGTTAAAGAAAACATAGCCACTCCTCCAAAATTACCAAATGGGGCTGAGGTGTATGGAATTTGGAGGAGTCCATAGCTCCTTCACTTTATCCCCCCTTCCTAGTTCTACCTAACTCCTTAACCAAAAAAACACCACCCTTCACTTTAATCCCTCCCTTTCAAAGTCCTCCAACAAAACAAGAGCTACAGGTTTTAAATACTAAAACTTTTCCAATATGCTCACCGTCCCAGTTACAAGTTCCTTGCGGGGTTTATTATATAGAATTCGAGATTGCATGAGCAGTCCAGGAAGCTTAAACTGGGACAAAGAGAGTAACATTTTGTATCCATTCAATTTTCGCATTCACTTATTTGGACACCTGATTCCCCGTGTATCCATAAATAAAGATGTTTCAATTAGCATTTTTATAGGCATTCCTAGTAATATATTTTGATCAATTAGCATTCACTTATATTATGTTATTAGTTGCATGTCAACAAAAAATTTAAATTTTCCACTTCAATAATATCCCATGTTGTTTTTTTGGGTTCCTTAAGACATTAACAGTATTCCTTATTGATCATCTTGCTGATCTTGATAGAACTTGGAGGTGCTGCGTTTATTTTCTTCGATAAAAGTTGGAAGAAGGTAAATTTCATCTCAGATCCACTTATAAGTGGAACTGTGGAAGATGGTTGTATGAAATTGAAATAATTTTAACTTTTATCAGGAAATTCCCATTGACCGAACGGGCAACTTCGATACGATATATGGATTCTTAGAGGATCACTGGGACATTGTTAAATGGGTTGCACTTGGGGCAGTTGTTTTGGAGGTATATATGATACACGCGCTTGGTCTTTTACCTGTATTAATTTTCTTAGAGGATCTTAGACCAACATTTGCACTGATTAACAAAATATGTTTGACATTAAACATCAAACTCTGTGCTCATTAATAGCATATGTCCTATTTGATATGTGCTGGATCTGATGATCTGTCCATGCTTTTTACCATAATCTGCTCAGGATACCAGGTTGTAAGTTTTAATCAACTCTGATCTAAGTGTTGTTTGTACTGGCAACACTAAACAAATGTGGCAAATTTATTGAGAATAGGTTGCCTATGACCTACTCTTACTATCCGTATCATAAGAATAAGAATTCTTTGAGCCCTTACACATGTTTATGTGAAAAAGAATCACAGATAAAAAAACCAGATAAAAAGCCAGCCAATTGACTGTATTGTTACTATTGTATCTTTGTTACAGGCGTTTATATTCTTGTTAGCCCTTGTGGTAAGGGCAGCAAATGCACCAGCAGACTATGATAGTGATGATGAGTATGTTGGTCCCAGAAGACAGCTCCATCAGCCACTTATCAACAACATGCCACCAACTCAAACTTCAAGTGTGCCTGCTGCTGGTACCCTTGACTCTCGACCAAGTCGCAGTGATGCTTGGAGTGCACGCATGAGAGAAAAGGTCTGCCATCAAGTTATGATGTTTTGCTTTTTGAGTATATATACTCTGTATTATGCATGCAATGCATGCAGGCATGCATGTATACATATACTTATACACACATATATAGACCTGTGTGTATATATGAATGTTCACGTGAGTCATGAGTTCGAATGTTCATACGAAAGACCATGAATTTGAAAATAAATGTAGGTCTTTAACCCCTTAAAAATGAATGAATTAGATCAAATTTTCAATAACACATATGGTGGTAGAATCATAAATATGTGAAATTTTAATGTTCAACGGTAATGACACAGTGCATTATGGTTTACATACAAGTGTACTTCGCGCATTTACAGAAATGTTATGACATTACCCTGTCATGTGCATTCTATGTAAGACACTTGTTCACATTTATAATGTAGAAGTGCACTTTATGTATGCAATGATGCATTTTTGTCAACGTGTTTTTTATTAAAAACCTTCCATCATTTGTGTTTTTGCAAAAAAATATGATCTTATCATTCCATCATTTGCAATGGGAACCAAAGACTCACTATTTTTTGGCTTGAGAATATGATGGGTTAAAGCATAATGGCCCACTAAACTGTCTGCACCTCTTTGTTATGAAGTAGGAGTTAGTCTATGCAATTTTCGACGAGTTTTTCACTATGGGTCATCCGGAACCAGACTCTTAGTGCTTTAGTCTGCTTTAGTACAGGGGTAAGACTGTGTACATCCAACCCCTCTTACCCCACCGTAGATGGGAGCCTTTGCGGCATTGGGACAATGATGATGATCATCATCATCATTCCATTTTTTCAAATCAGTGATCAAGAATAATTTTATCTTTTCATATAAGAAATACTTTTTACTTGAATAATTAAAATTAATTTCTTAAACAAGTATTCATGGTTATTTCTTTGAGAAAAAAGAGTGGGATGAATTTGTAATGCAGAGACATAATTGTAAATAAAATGCGAGCTTTTAATGAGAACATGATGTCGAAGGGGATATGCCATATGTAAATAGTGAAGTTGTCTGTTTTAAACATCTGCATGACTAAAATAGTGCCATACTAGGTAGTACACATAGAGACATGCACTTGTATGCATCTAGTGATGCAATTTCTAACATTAACCATTGCTAATTTAGGTCCAAATGTGTTGAGAACAGAATAAAAAACAACGGGGTAAACCGTTGCCCAGATAATCAACAATAAAATCCGTTGCCCAGAGCCAAAAGGCTAAACTCCAATTTTATTCATAGATAAGCAAGAATGATTCCTAACGAGGGATTTAAATATCCATCTACTAATTCCCAAACTAGAAAACAAAATCATAGAAATTCCAATCAACTCCAACCAGGAAACAGAATAATAGAGATCCTAATTAACTCCAAATAGGAAACAAATAAAAGAAATCCTAATTAACTCCTAATAGGAAACAAATAATAGAAATCCTAATTAACTCCAAATAGGAAACAAATAATAGAATTCCTAATTAACTCCAAATAGGAAACAAATCAGGAAAAGTAAAAAGAATAAAAATTAATTAAACAGCCCGCAACCAGACCATGAAGGTGAGCTCAAGCCCATCCCCGCCTTCAGTAAACCCACGGGGGCTTCTGCCCCTCTTCTTCCAAGACCAGATTTTGCTTCATATCAATTCCATCCTCCTTGAAAAAACCTTGTCCTCAAGGTTAAAATCCGGGAGCTGGCTGACATTTGTCCCCGGGAATTCTTCGTGCTCTGTTATCTCGCAATAACCATGTTGTTGCAGGTCAAGTTCTTCATCTTCTTCAGGCTAACCTTTAATTGTTTGAAAGGACAATCGTGCCCCAGCGTGAAAGGTTTCCGGCACTTGAAACATAATCCCTTGGCCCGCAGCTCTTCAAACACCATTGGGGGAAGCCTGGTGAACCTGGAGCGTGCAGTAGACTGCCCGGACAGCCTGAATTTGTCCCCGAGGGATCCCCACTATCTTTCAGGAGGCTGCCATTTGATCCTTGTATGTTGCCACCACTGGCTGTCAACGGAGGGCTCGTGTTTGGCAGTGAAAAGCTGCTGGAATGTGTCCCTGTAGGATTATAATTTGGACTGCCTCTTCCTCCACTCTGAATAGATAGATTGTACCCCACATCGCGAGCTAAATCCTTGGCCTCTTCCAAGTTATTCGGACGAAATAAGTGCAGCGTGCTACGGATTGATTCTTTCAGTACATTCATGTAGTATCCCAAATAATGATCATCCGATAATCCCGGAACTTGGCTGGTCAATTGAACAAACAGGGTATTGTAGTCCTCCACTGATACAATCTGTTTGATGCCGGACAGCCGTTCAAACTTGTTCCCTTTAAATCAGGAGTCGAATCTGGCCACCAAAGCTTGCTTGAATCCTTCCCAGGTCAGGTCAGGTTTGCGCGCTCTCAGCCAGGTTACCCAATAAAGAGCAGCCCCTTCCATGGCAACTACAGCTGCTACCACTTTTCTGTCCGGTAGGGTCCCATTGAGTTCAAACTGTTGTTCAACCCTAGCCACCCACCCAATCGGGTCTGCGCCGTCGAATGAGGGCAGCAGTGCGCAGAATCGGCGTGCGCAGAAGAGGAATTGTTGCTGGCTGATGTCGGCATCTTCTCCGGTGGCACCATGGCCTTCGCGCTCGCAGCAAGAGAAGCCGCAATCTCTGTGAGTTGGGCGCCATGATCTTCCAATGTCTGTCCTTGCGCGTCGAGTTTCTGATTGATTAGGATTTGCTCGGCCAGCATCCGGGCTTGCTCGGCCTCCATCTCTGTCAAGCGATCGTTATGAGATCTTGTCATCTTGGCGAGACGGGATCCGATAGGTCGGACCAATTGTTGAGAACAAAAAATAAAATCAACGGGGTAAACCGTTGCCCAGATAATCAACGATAAAAACCGTTGCCTAGAGCCAAAAGGCTAAACTTCAATTTTATTCATAGATAAGCAAGAATGAATCCTAACAAGGGATTTAAATACCCATCTACTAATTCCAAAACTAGGAAACAAAATCATATAAATCCTAATCAACTCCAACCAGGAAACAACAAAATAATAGAGATCCTAATTAAATCCAAATAGGAAACAAATAAAAGAAATCCTAATTGACTTCTAATAGGAAACAAATAATTCAAATCCTAATTAACTTCAAATAGGAAACAAATCAGGAAAATTAAAAAGAATAAAATTGATTAAACAGCCTGCAACCAGCCCACGAAGGTGGGCTCAAGCCCGTCCCTGCCTTCAGTAAACCCACGGGGGCTTCTGCTCCTCTTCTTCCAAGCCCAGATTCTGCTTCATATCAAAATGTTTATGATTATTTTAACACATGCTTTATAAAAAGATCGATCTAATAAGATTTTAAGTAATGAAAGGGCTAGATTTATTCTAATTTTTCATGAGAATACTACTTTTACTTTAGAATCAAATCTGACCTTAGGTATCTCTATCTCTTATATATATGTGTGTGTGTGTGTGTGTATTTGTGTGTGTGTATTCTTGTTGTTGTTATGTGTCCCTCTAGTGTTTCTTAATGTGGCTAGAAAAAGATGCACTAATTTCCATATATGGTGTACAAAGATTGTATTTGGAAACATCTCATTTACGTAAGGGTTCATGAACTTTTTCTCATTATTGTGACACCAAACTCTTCTTTGAAATCTGGTCAGCGGTCACCCATCCCTCATATAGTCAGGCATGTTCCGAGAATTTGATTATTTGAGTGATCTTAACATAAACTATGATAAGCAAAAAAAAATGGAATACACAATTGTGTTCATTCAAGTTAGGATGCTAAATGTAGATAATTCTGTTCATGCCATACCTCTACACTCTACAAGCCCGTTTGCTAACACTGAAATTGGTTAAATCGACTGATTTTTTTTGCTGAAATTGATCAAGTTCTGGCTGAAACGGCTGAATTGGTTGAATCTGCTGAATTATGAAACATTCCTTAGATTTATTCATTTGTAACAGTCTTTCTTTACTTCGTTTTTGTGGCTGTAAGAAATAAATGAGAATTTAAGAATTTTTAGTTGTCTTAAGCAGCTAAACAACATATTTGTTGGCAACTTATATTTCCTGTACTTCTAGTCTTCAATCATAAAATCTTCAACCATGTTACTACTCTTAAAAACACTGATTTGTTTCTATTAGTTCTTAAATTTAATATTACCACACACACATTTTTTATTAAGCTAAATAGTTTTATCCGCCGTATTCATTCTTAAATCATTCTCTTACCTTTGTGTAATAAAAATTGTTACCATAAATTCCTAGTTTCACAGTGCTCTATGTGTGTCTGTGTGTGTGTTTCTCCATGTGTGTCTGTGTGTTTTTCTCCTGATGTCTGCTGTATAGCTTATATTTCATTTTTCATTTTTCATTTACCCCAGTGCCGCAAAGGCTCCCACCTACGGTGGGGTAGGGGGGGGGGGTCGGATGTACGCAGTCTTACCCCTATACTAAAGCACAGAGAGACTGTTTCCGGATGACCCATAGTGAAAATCGCGTTCAAAATTGCATGGGCTGACTGCTGCTCCATAACAAAGAAGCGCAGACAGTTTAGTGAGCCATTTTGCTTTATTCCATCATAATCTCAAGCCAAAAAATAATGAATCTTTGGCTCCATTGCAAATGATGGAAATGCTGTATAGCTTATATGATACCCAATATTTCACTTAATTTATTCTAAACTGTAGTGCTCATTTTAGCATGTAGCTTATTTGCTAAACTCAATATTTCACTTAATATTCCGATCCCAAGCTCTTTAGGCTTGAATGTTTTAGTTTAATGTCAACCGGGAAAAACGATACCCTCTCCATATTAGAAAAGTAGCCAGAATATGAAATGAAGAAGAAGGATTTTCATTAATCACATAATACCAGTACATCAGTATTTATAGAGAGGTAGTATAACCAACTTGTAACTGAATCTAAACAGCTTGACTAACTATAACTAGCTAACTGAATGCTAAGCTTATTACACAGTTCGTAGATATAG